TCAGTGGGGGGGAAAGGGGCACATCTGTAATACTTTCAACAATAAAGATAACTTTTTTAAAAAGAATGGGGGAAAAATGATCTAGGCAAATAGAGAACAGAAGGACACTCCGCTCAGAGGCCGGAACAGCATAAACAAAGGCTCAGAGGAGAAGAGCAGCAGGGTTTGCCACGTCGGGAATGGCAAGCAGCTCAGTACTGCCCAGTGTAACTTACAGAAGAGACCAAGCAAGAGCTGAAAGCAGAGGCCAGGCTGGAGATCCCTGTACGACACATTAAGGAAGCTGGACTTTATCCCAAGCAATGAAGATCCAGGGCAGGTTTTCTCGGGAATGGCTTACTTAAGACTTAATTTTAGAAAGTTCACTTTGACAATCATGAGAAGGAAGTGTTACAAGTGGTAGAAACTAGAAGCGGAGCCTGTCGTTAAGAAGCTATAGCAGAGATGATGAGGGCTTGTTTTAGGGTGATTCCAGGAAAAGACATTAAGTTCAAGAAATAGGAAGTAAAATCAGCAGGACTAAAAATAAATTAGAAGTGGGGTGGAGATGTGGGGGGCGGGGGGGGAAGGCATGGAATGGATCCAGGTTTCTGCTCAAGACAGGAAAGAGATACTGAACACAGAGGGGAAACCGACCAAACTGTCTTTAGTTCCGCTTGGGACATGTTGAGTCCAAAAAATATCTGGGTAGAGGTGTCCAGAAGCCGGGTGAATGCGGTAACCTACTGCTCAGGACACAGGCTCGCCCTGAAGATCTGGAAGTGTGGGAGTAAGTCGCATACAGGCAGTAACTGAACCGCTAAAAGTGAATGTGACCACCCGGGGAAAGGCACCAAGTGAGAAGTCAGTCCCTGGCTGGAACCCGACAGACACCAACGTGCATGCAGCAGGCAAAGGCAGAAAACCAGCAGACAGAGACAGAGACATCCAGAAGAGATGAGAGATCACACCAGGAAGGAAGGAGGGTCAGGGGTCCGAAACGCAGCCCAGAGTAAATCCAGGGAAAGAAGAGCCGGGTGATGCTTGCTAGTCTTAGAAATTAAGCAGTCGCTGAAGAACTTACTAAATAAAAGTGGTTTCAATCAGGTGCACAGGAGGGAAAGCTGAAGCTAGGCTGCAGGGCGTTGAGAAGTAGAAACAATGGATGCAGACTATCTTTTTGGAAATTTTAAATCCGAAAGGGAGGAATCTGAAATTTAATGAAGATTGAAAAGATCAATTCTGAGTCCCTTCCAGTCCTCACTTTATGTTTTCATATGGATAAAGAGCCTATTTTCACAAAATTCCATTAAAGCCCACATAAATTAAATTTAAGCAACATTTTTAAATTATCAGGAAAAATAGGAGACTCATACCGCAGTTATCGATGGAATATATGTATGTGGAACATTTCCCAATTTACCTTAGAATTATACCTTGTAAACTAGTCTCTTTTTCATATACTAACAGGGACTGAGAAGTAGAGAAACTGTTGGTGAAGTAACCACCTCCTGTTCCACCTGTTTTCTTTTAATGTCTCATAAAATTATTTTGTCCCCCTCGGCCTGGAATAGCCTTCTCTATTTTAATTTGTTTAACTCCCATTTGATCCTCAGGGGCCCTCTCGATTTCCCCCCACGGAATCCCACAAAGCTAGAGACAGGGAGGGCCTTACAAATTCTACGAACCGAAGCGTTTCCACTGTCCCGATGAAGGAGCTAAAGACCGGAGTTTCGGAGGATGACCTGACCAAGGTCACAGTCATGGCTTATGGAGAAATTTAAATCTGAACTTCAACCAGTGCCTGGTTTACTACACTATTTCCTCAGGTAATTATCACTTATAAAATTTAGGATTGCAATAAATCACGCTTTAAAGAGCAGCTTAAAAGAGTAGATCTAGCGTAAGATCCATGCTAATGTACTTCTGAAAACCAGGGAGCTGGTCCTCAGCTTTACTGGTTAGTTTGAGTCAACCACCGACAACTACTCGATCGTACAAGTGGAGTGTACAGATGTCGGCTAATATTTCTCTCGTGGAGGAGCTGACTGTCAGCCACTGAGCAGGATCTCTCCCCACGGGTGCAGCGTTCACTTCAGCCTCTGCCAGGGGAAGTGTCGGAGCAGATGTTGGCAGATTGTGACATACAGTATGTCTTTAAAACTTGGTGGGGTGTGAAATTTCATAAGGTCAAAAAATGCTGCATTTTGATCAGCGGATACAGGAGTTCTATACTTCTGTAAATTATTTCAGACAAGCCAATAGGATGTGCTGGTAAAGTAGAGAAACCAAGAAACCACGCTGGCTGTAGGTAGTAGATGGTAATCTCTGCAGCTAGTGTTTTACAAGCCAATTCTTGTAACTTTAAAGCAAATGCTTGTCCAGAAGGTCTTCAGAATGAAAATGCGTTAAGTCAATGCAAAGTACAAGATATTATTTCAACTGACAATAGGATTTTAAAAATGATTTTCTACTGAAAGAAAGCTATAAATATCTAACGAGCATTTGGGTGGGGGAAAATAATTTCCTTAACTGATCCATACATGTAAGTGTCCTCACTTTTTTTTTAAATGAAAAACCTACCTAAGAATTCACTTATATAGAGAGGGGGGGTGTTTTTTAAGTTAGTATATCATTCAAACAACTTCACAAATCCTTTGGTTTATTTTATCTATTCTTTAAAAAAATTAAAAGAGAGTATCCATAAAAAAGGCTGGGGCTCTATACAATGGGAAAATGACTTTTATAACATTTAAGGACTTCTGTTATCGCTACTATTTTACTGTATTATTATTATTATTATTATTGTTTATTTTTCTGCTTGAATCTTCCCTCATCTCTTTTCCAAATGTGGTGGATAACAACATACAACCACGACCAAAATGAAGATGGTGTCCAGTTAAAGGTTTTACGTCAGTGGCACAGACTTTAGCTGTTAGGCAGGTTTATTTGAATTGAACACAACTTTAAAACGCTTTACCTCGGAATCAACACAGAAAAACCCTCTCAGAGATTATCAGCGATTTGAACAGTCTGAAGTGCCTGGTCATAACATAGCAATAACTGCTGTCATTGTCACCATCATGTTCAGTTTACTCTGGGCTACGTTCAGGCAAATATATAACTTCTAAATAGGTTTACACTGCAAACATTTTTATTAGATGTTTGTAAGGAAGAAAAATTCAACTACAAACATAAAATCTCCCGAGAAAATAATTTCTGATGGAAATCATGTTTCTCATTGTAAATCACCTAAGACCATGGCAGGAAGCTGAGTGGAAATGCTCTAGGTACCGGGACGTCCTTCAACCACGTTCACCCAGCAACCAAGCCCAAAGGGCTTTGCTTACGTTTTCTAAAGGAAAACCTGCAGTCCGAATCTGGGGAACTGTAATGATCACGTTCAAGTGCTCACTATAAAAAACCTTAAACGATTCATTCACATATTCTTGACCATCCCTACGCTAAGGAACTGAAATTCTATCAGAGCTGAAAACTACTCTGATATTAAATACAGACCTAAGCTTTTCACAGGCCTCTCACCTATACTAAGATCCCTGACACATCGGGTCATGCAGACAGATAAATCCAAGGCCCGTCAACCATTATAATGAACTTACTTGCCACTGAAAAGTTGTTGAGGGGATAAGGTAAGTCCACGTCTTGAGGTTTCTCTTTATATCCTATGAATGAGCCATCTGTCTTCAAAAGGAAGTATCTTGGCCTCCAGTTTTTTATATATTCGCCTGCATGAGAAAAGCGTGCATGTTAAT